TATTCATTGATTAGCTCTAGTAATTTTCTGGTAGAGTCTTTAGGGTTTTCTATGTAGAGGATCATGTCATCTGCAAACAGAGAGAGTTTCACTTCTTCTTTTCCTATCTGGATTCCTTTTACTTCTTTTTCTGCCCTGATTGCTGTGGCCAACACTTCCAAAACTATGTTGAATAGTAGTGGTGAGAGTGGGCACCCTTGTCTTGTTCCTGATTTCAGGGGAAATGCTTTCAATTTTTCACCATTGAGGGTGATGCTTGCTGTGGGTTTGTCATATATAGCTTTTATTATGTTGAGGTATGTTCCTTCTATTCCTGCTTTCTGGAGAGTTTTAATTATAAATGGATGTTGAATTTTTTCAAAGGCTTTTTCTGCATCTATGGAGATAATCATATGGTTTTTATCTTTCAATTTGTTAATGTGGTGTATCACATTGATTGATTTGTGGATATTGAAGAATCCTTGCATCCCTGGGATAAAGCCCACTTGGTCATGATGTATGATCTTTTTAATATGTTGTTGGATTCTGTTTGCTAGAATTTTGTTAAGGATTTTTGCATCTATATTCATCAGTGATATTGACCTGTAGTTTTCTTTCTTTGTGGCATCTTTGGTTTTGGTATTAGGGTGACGGTGGCCTCATAGAATGAGCTTGGAAGTTTACTTTCCTCTTCAATTTTCTGGAAGAGTTTGAGTGGGATAGGTGTTATCTCTTCTCTAAATTTTTGGTAGAATTCAGCTGTAAATCCGTCTGGTCCTGATCCTGATATTAGATTCTATTATTTCCTTTTCCCTTGCATGCTGCTTATTTTACTGTTTTTCTTCCCCCATTAACCTCTTTTAAGCCTGAATGATATTTTTCCTCTTTCACTCCACAGATTGGAAAAGAAAAAATTTTTTAAGTTTTCTTTTTTCCCCCTGAAGGAAGTTCCAAAAACCAAGCTTGAATTTGCCTACATGGGAAACTATTTACATAGCATTTGCATTGTATTAGGTATTATAAGTGGGCTTCCCAGGTGGCACAGTGGTTAAAAAGTCCACCTGCCAATGCAGAAGATACAGGAGATGTGGCTTTGATCCCTGGGTCAGGAAGATCCCCTGGAGGAGGGCATGGCAATCCACTCCAGTATTCTTGCCTGGAAAATCCATGGACAGAGGAATCTGGCAGACTACAGTCCACGGGGTTGCAAAGAGTCAGACACGACTAAAGTGACTTAGCATGCATGCATGAGTGTGTGTGTGCATGCACACACAGGCGCACACACATATTACAAGCAATCTGGAGATGATTTAAAATATACAAGAGGGAATTCCCTGGGTTAACCACTCTGCAGTTCAACTACATGGGGCATAGGTTTGATCCTTGGCCAGGAAACTAAGATTTCACATGCTGTGCAGCATGGTCAATAAATAAATAAATAAAGTAAATGTACAGAAGGATGTTCATAGAATATACTACATGATTTTAAATAAGGGACTTGAGCACCCCCAGATTTTGGTATCTGTGGGGGTGCTGGAACCAGCCTCTCACAGATACCTCACAGTTGTCTCAAGGGACAACTATATACTCTTGCTTCTTAGTATTTTTCACCCAGGCTAACATTTTTGGCTTGTTATCTTCAGTTTTGTTGGGATTCTTAAATCTTGATAGTCAGGGTCTTAGGATCCCATACAGAAGCTAACATATGACTGGAGGAATTAAGCTTGCAGTTGCTTTTTTCTACAAGTATTGGTATATATGATGATCAGGTTGAGAATTTGGCTGGAGTTAAAACATCTTAGGAGAGATGGAACTTCATGGAGTTTGAGGAGAAGGTGTTAATGAGGAAGGGAAGACAGGTTCCTTACCTGGGGCATTGTTTCTCAAACTTAAGTGTTTCTAGGAATCACCTGGGTATCTTGTTAGAGTGCAAATTTTAATTCATCAGGTTTGGGAGGAAGCCTAACATCTGGGATTCTGCATTTCTAACAACCTCCCAGGGGAGGTTCACAATGCTGGCCTGCAGACACACTTTAAGGAATAAGAACTTTGGGGTTTCATGTTTCCAAACAGCCACCTCTGTATCGCTCCTCCCTGTATCGCTCCTCATCGTTGCCAGACAGCTTGAACAGTCCAAGTCTGAAGCAGGTGGTAAAATTCAAGGACAGCACAATACCAGATAAAGTAAAAAAGAAGTATTGTTCAAACCACAAAGAGCTCGGAAAGGTAAGAAACTTTTTTTTTCTTTTTTTTTCAGAAACTTTTAAAAAAGACAGTCTCTTTAATCTTTATCTCATCTTCTCCACCTTTCTGGGTTGGGGGTTGCTTTCGCATAGCTTTTGGCTATGTACTTTTACTTTTATCTCCTCTTTCCATTTTCCTTTTCTACATCTGCACCCATATATAAAGTATTTAATAATAAATATGTTATATTATAATTTTGGAAATGATATCATTGTATTGTCTTCCCAACCACCTTTTTTTAAGATCTGAGAGAATACAAGGGAACTCTGATTGAGAAGGACATTTATTGCTGTTTTATAGGCATTTGGACAGAAATAACATCATAGAGATGATGTTTTGGTTTGCTGAAAAGCAAATTCTGAAAAAACTTAGCCCTCATAAAACTTAAGTAAAAACTTAGCCCTCATCCTGTATCTCTCCTTTAAAAAGGAAATCTAAAAAAAAAAAAAAGAAATCTCAATACATTTGGCTATTTTATGAAATCAGTGTATGACATTATAGAAAAATAGAAAATTCAAAAAAGCGAAAAGAAGCCATTGCAAAATGTGCATAATTCCACAGGCCAGAGATAATTACTATTAATAATGTATAGCCTTTCAGACTTTTTTTAATGCAAATATGTTTTTTCTTTTATTAAAGAGGCATTACAAAGTACATGTTTTCTAACCTACTTAATGATGTCATATTTTCAAGTTAATGAAGTTAATTTACAGCTTACTTTTTATTCCCTAATAGTAATTGGTAATGTGTGGATATGATTTGTTTAACCAAGATCCTGTTATTGATCATTTAATTTATTAGTAATTTTTCTCTATTGTAAACATCCTTAATAGCCAAATCTTTCTACATATCTTTATTTTCTTAGTAAAACAAGTAGAATTATTAGATCAAAGAGTATGCATATTTTTAATGAATCTTCCAACACTCCCTCCATTTCTTGGTTTTTAAACCTTTAACATGAGGATTGGAGTGGGGGGAATCTTGTCTCAGGACTTAGGTCTAAAGAAGATGGTCTCCCTCTGTGACATCAACATGACTCAGATGCTGGAGGAAGATTCAAACCAGGGGCCTCTGATTGGTGATTTCTCCAAGGTGAGTTTGGCTACTCCAATCCTATATTTCATCCTATATTTTGGATCTGAATCTTATCTGCATGCAGAGGACACTAAGTTTAATTAATATGTGTCTTCAGCAAGTACTCACTGATAACCTGAAGGTGCTGTAGTGGTACATCTAGGCCCTAAGCCTTTCATGAGAAAGTATCCCTTATTCACTCTGGAAATATCTACAGAAGTGGAAAAAGTATGAGGCTTTCTTTTGTCTGTTTTTTGGTGGTGCCCTATGGCATATGGAACCTTAGTTCCCTACCCAGGGGTCGAATCTGTGCCCCCTGCAGTGGAAGCACAGAGTCTTAACCACTGGACTGCTAGGAAGTCCCAAGTATGAGGCTTTCTACTTTTTTAAAAAACATATTTTAAAATCATATTTGGTGACTACAGAAGATAGAAAATGGAATTTACCCCAGATCTTATCAAAGTATTATTGTTTTTATTTATTTATTTTTTTGGTGTATATTTTGGTGTATATCTCTGTATGTTTTTTCACAGAGACACATGCACGTACACAAATACACTTTTTGTTTTTCCATGTTTGTTTTGAGGTTTTTATTCCATCTCCTTTGATATATCAGGAACATCTTTTCATGTCAATAAATAGTTCTTCATCATTTCATCACTTTTAATAACAGCACACTATTTCTTTTTTTTTTTGGCTGCCCATAATTTCCTGATAAACCCTTTCTTGTTATTTACTTCTACAATTTTTCCTTATGAACTGTACCAAGATAGACATATTTGTGGCTATATCTAAGACTTTTTAAGCATTCGTAATTAGCTCCTTAGGTTCAGTTCTTAGAAATGGAATCATTGCATATGCTCATTGAGACCATTGATTTCTGAAGGCATTTGGGGTTTTAAATGTCATTTGGATAGGACAATATATGGGTCATGATTTCAACTTTGGGTATAGAGAACTTGCTGTTTTTTTAGCTTTTGGGTATTTCTAGGTATGTGCACTGCCAACCGTGTCAGGGAAACACCAAGATCTGAAGTACGTCAACCCAGAAACAGTAAGCAGATTTCTGGAGATGGTAACTGGTTACATAAGCTGCCATCTGGTCTGTTCTGTCCCTAAAATCCCCACTTCCATTTGTATTTCTTTCACTTTGTTCACTCATGTGGGCTCTGTATTCAGCTGAAGCTATGTTAAAAGACTCATTTATATGTCACCTTTGTTTGTAATTAAGCAAATGATATATAATTGTTACATAAGAAAGGAAGAAGGAAGGGGAAGGGTGAAAAGCAAAAATCACCTGGTTAGGCTGGCCTTACATCCTGGTTTACATGTTGCAATTCCATTTATGCCTATTACTGGATATTATTAATAGTGCTCTCTTTCACTCTCAAAAGTATTCTAGTTTGTGCAATAATTATTTTGTCACTTTACCCATTGGTCTCATCATCAGAGATAAGCACTAGTCGTACTTTCCTTATGGCCTTACAGATTTTATTCTGGTATAATAAGTTTTATAAAAATAATATCATAATAAGCATATAATTTTGTAGTTAGCTTAATAAGTCATTGTAAACATCTTTCTGTATTATTAAAAAAAATCTATATTATCCCTTTGATGGCTATGTAATATTCTGTTATACTGATAATATATAACTTTTTAAACTAAACTTCTTTTGTTGAGTATTTAAGTTATTTATAATATTTTGATAATCTAAAGCAATGGTGAGATCAACATTATTGTGCCCTATCTTTACGTACTTCTGTTTACTTAAGATGCTAGAAAAGAAGTTGCTGAAAATGTAATTACATTTATTTATTTTTTTAAAAGTATTTACAAAGTTTCCTCTGGAAAGTTTGAGCCAATTTACATAACCACACGTAGCTTAAGTTTCTTCCTCTGGATATCAACAGTTTCCTTCAATATCCCTTTTGAGAAACTCGCTTTCTACTCTTCCAGTGGAGGGTAGGGAATCATTTCTCATTTCTTCTTGTAAAATTGAGACAGCTGCTACCTATGCCCTTACAGAAATCCTTGGGTGTCTTCTCAGAGATTGATTGTAGCCGTGTCTTCCTCCAAATAAGTAGCTTGAATGTTCTCCCTTGTGTCCTGGCAGTACTGACTGTTTTGGTTCTCCAAAAGGCCATTTCCTATTTTATTCTCTTACATGCGGAGGGTTGGTGGGGGGCGGTTGCACCATTGCCATGTTTCAAATGTAGGGGGACTTTGGAGGCTGGGCATACAGTGGGATCCTGAGTAACTAAAAGGAGTACACATCAGGAACTGGGTGACTGGCTCTTCTCTCCCTCCAAAGAGGCAGGGTATTCAGTCACAGTTTCTGTACAGGTGGCTGCCTTGCTATCAGGGGAGTTCCAGGGTCTGATTGAGAAGTTTTATATCATCGATTGCCGCTATCCATATGAGTACCTAGGAGGACACATTCAGGTAAGGTTATATTGAGGACTTAGCAGGGGAGGGCCTGGAGATACTGCTTATTAAGAAGTCTAGACAAAGGGTCCTGTGACCTCTGGAACCAGGGCAGACATTATACATTTGGAACACATCAAGGTTGTCAGTCCTCATTCCTGTTGTAATTCTGTGAACCTTGAGCAATTTACTTTCCCTTTCCCTCCTAGACCAATCTGCCTCTTTCCTATAGGAACCAAAAGCTCCTACCTGGACATAAAAACATTAATCCAGGGATTGAGCAGCACTTTGCAGACACTTATTGCTTACAGACATTTCTCACAATAATCCCTGCACTTCAGGCAGTTCCGTTCTATAAATGTTTATTGAGCACCTAATATATAACCAAGCTCCATGCCAGGCCCTGGGGGTAGATACAGGTAGATTTCCACTCTGAAAGTACTTAATAGTGTAGTCTTCCTGAACTAAATATTTCACGACGGTATTCCAGTTATTTCTAAGTGTTGGCCCTGTTCTCTCACCCTTAAGGAAATACATAATAAAATTATTTTACAGGGAGCATTAAACTTGCACAGTCAAGAAGAATTATATAACTTCTTTCTGAAGAAACCCATTGTCCCTTTGGATATCCAGAAAAGAATAATCATCGTGTTCCATTGTGAATTCTCCTCTGAGAGGGGTCCCCGAATGTGAGTGTCTACACGAGGAGGGGGCGTGGAGAGGGTGATGGATCTTGAGTTTGGACTTAAACAGTCAAGGAACCTTCCCAGCCCAGTTTAGACAGAAACTGAATGAATGAATGATTTCCACTATATTTTAAAGAATGTTAAGGAGGTGGAAAGAAGGAGTTTCTACAATTCAAAGGTTTGAAGTAGTGAAGGAAAAAGGATTTGGAGTTAGGTACCAATGGAGGAAAGGAGAGAGGTGCTATTTGCACCTTGTTTTGCAAAAATAAGATCTGGAGCTCCTTTTGAGGGCTAGCAAAAGTCTCTTCTTCCTCCCCTTCCCCAGTGAATGACCCATGGAATCCTGAACTTGCTTGTTCCCATCCCACCCATCTGGATTTTCTCTAAAGGTGCCGTTCTCTGAGAGAAGAGGACAGGGCTCTGAACCAGTATCCTGCACTGTACTACCCAGAGCTGTACATCCTCAAAGGGGGCTACAGAGACTTCTTTCCAGAATATATGGTAAATCTTGCATGGGGCATGTGGGGCAATGGGGGAGCCCAAACTTGGGGCCAACTTTAACATGCAGCTCCCAGGGCCTGCAAAGCCCTCTGAGAAGAAAGTGCTGTTCCTTCTAAGCCATTCCCTGCAGCATCTCTGTTATACCTCGTGGGCAGACTGTAGGCATCAGGAGGATTCCTTACTCTGTCCCTTGCCTTTCAGGAGCTGTGTGAACCACAGAGCTACTGCCCGATGCATCACCAGGACCATAAGGCTGAGCTGCTGAGGTGTCGAAACCAGAACAAAGCATGGGAAGGAGGGCGACAGCTGCAGGAACAGATTGCCTTACTGGTGAAGGATGTGAGCCCATGATATCAGGTCACCTACTGGCTGCCTGGGACTCACCAAAAGGCACTGTAGAAACCCTGAGCAGAAAGAGGCCATCTTCTGTGCAGCCTTTTTTCATTCTAAGATGTTAAAAGATGTCAGTAAACCAACAGGCTGCCAAACTAAAGAAATCCCAGGCGTGGGGATTGATTACATTTTAGTAGAGCTGTTGGCTAGTAAGGAAGTCCTTGAGCTAGTTCTCTAAGGTTGGAGCCTTGGGTTGCATGGAGATTTATGTTGCTTCAGGGGGCTATTGCATTCCTCTTCCTAACTACTCTCGTCTTCTCAGAGGTCAGCCAGATCTTTCTCCTGGGCTTCTGGCTATGCAAGAGAGAGTTGGGAGAGTTGTCCATCTTCTTTCTCTGTATTTTCCTTGTTTGTATCCCTCTCTCTTCTTTTTTTAAAAATGGAAATATAAACATTGATGAATGAGAAAAACTCCTAGAAGATGTATATAAGGAAGTAATCACCACACTTAAATTCCTTCAGACAAAGATGTAGCCATCTCAATTCATAGCTGAGGCCAAAGTGCTTTTCTCCAGACCATGGTTCTCAAAGTTTGGGCCCTGGTCCATCAGCATTATCTGAACTTTGCTTGAAATGCAGGTTTTCAGAGCCCACTCCAGACCTACTAAATCAGAATGTCTGAGGTTAGGGCCCAGAAATCTGGGTTTTAAAAATCTCCCATTCAGGTGATGGTGATGCATGTCAAGGCTTGAGAACTACAGCTCTGGAATTAAAGAAAACCTTTTAAATGGAATTCTTCAGCAGTGTTCCAGACTTTCCTTTCCTACACCATTCCATGGTATGAATTGCCTAAAAGTGTGCCCCAGACTCAATTCTTTGTGGTATCAAGACTCAGAAAAGCAAAATAATTGCCGTTCTGTAAGACCAAGTGATAGGTCTGAGTTGTATTCCAAAGGTTCCTTATCTTCAGTCTCAATAGAATTAAAAAAATATTTATTTATTTATTTTTGGCTTCACTGGACCTTTGCTGCTGCTCGGGCTTTCTTCTAGTTGCAGAGAGCGGGGGCAGTGCGTGGAGGGGGCTACTCTCTAGTTGTGGTGCTTCTCATTGCAGTGGCTTCTCATTGGAGAGTACAGGGTCAGTATTTGTGGCGCATAGGCCCAGTTGCCCTGTAGCATGTGGAGTCTCCCGGACCAGGGACTAAAACTGTCCCCTGCACTGGCAGGCAGATTCTCAACCACTGGACCACCAGGAAAGTCTGCATCAGTTTTGACTTTTCCCATTTTCCAAAGTTTTTTTCCCACTCCACTTCATGTTTCACAGAGACAGATTTAGGATGGTTGGAAGTAGAGATCTGTGCCATATGAAGATAAGAATGAAAGAAAAGGAAAGCACCAAGCAAGATCAGTTAGACTTCAGAAAGATATTTAATTTAATTAATCAATTAAAAAAAAATTTGTCCATCTGGCATGTGATATCTTAGTTCCCCAACCAGGGATTGAACTTGCATTCACAGAAAGATATTTTAAGTTACATTTTTCAGCATTACCCCAGGCTTTCCTTTTTTAGAGCTCTTTAAGGTGAGTAGGTTTTTGTCTGTGTAGTAAGGTACAGCCCTACTTGGCCTGGACGGCAGTGGAATTGCATTGTCATTCTGTGGCATTAACCTGGTAAGTAGTCATAGCTCAGGACTAGAAATGGACAAAAGGCTGTGAAGCCTAGCCTGAGATAGAATGGAGACAAAAATGACACCTTCCCAGATCTGGATGGAGCAGGGAGACTTTTTAAAAAATGAGTGGGAGGGAAGAGTGTGCCCGAGTGACTGAATTGATTTTTGCAAGGTTCAAGAACGCTCTTTTCCCAGAGTGCTGCATGCTTGCCTCACAGCAGAGGGCACTGCTGTATTCTCTAAGGCAGCTGCTGCAGCCTGCAGTCTCCACTCCTAGCTTGAACCTGCCTGTCCTGAGCCCTTGAGTTCAGAGCTCAGAAGGGCTGGGGAAAAATGGAGAGAAGAGCTGCTGCTTCAATAGGTGGAGACAGCTGAGGGAAAGATGCTGTTCTTTTGTCCCACTCCACACACTTCCTCCCAACAGGTAGGAGCTTAGCTGCCTGAGCAGGAAACTGCTTGAAGCACCTCCACTTCCAAATGTGAGGATGGGTCCCTGACTCACTGCCTACCCTAGTAATTTCCTGTAATTCTTTCCAGAAAGGGAGAGCAAGCCCCTACCTGGGAAAAGACTGGTGCACAAGTATTCACATCTCAGTGATCCTAAATGGAAGTTCCAAGTTGTAAAACATAAAACTATGTCTTAACCAGCTATCTACTTTGTGGAAAATTATATTTGCCTAAAAGGCTACATTTTCCCATATAGTTTCTTGTAATATCTTCCCACCGTATAGGTACCATGTCACGTGATTCATGTTATTTTTCAGGAACAATAGTAATAGTAGCTAACAATCTTTCAGCTGTTTACTGCTTGCAAGTAAACATTTACTCATTTTATATAAATAAACTAATTTTCACAACAATCCTGTGAGGCAAGTAACTATTATACACGTATACATTTATCCCAATAAAGAAATTGAGGAACAGAGAGACTGAGTAACTTATTTAAAGTCCCACAGCTAATGAATGGCAGAGTTGGGATATGAACCCAGGCACTATGGCTCCAGAGTCTGTAATGCTAATGGATTTTGCTGTTACCAAATCCTCATTGATGGAACGATGTGTCTTTCTAAATTGGCATTGTATTAGGTGTTAAATATGTAAGTGCCTCAGTTATAGGTTCTTGAGAAGTCAGGGCCAGAGGGTTGCTTCAGCTTGGGAACTGAAGCTAAGGGCAGATACTAAGACCCCAATCCAGAAATCTTTGCATGAGGCTATGAAGGGGTTAGCTCTGTGCTGGTGTCCTTGTACTGACTGGTATTCATTCAGCAGGAAGTCAGGTGATAAAGAATGGAAACCTTTTGGTCTGAAAACACTTCTGGTTGCAATCTCAGCCCCAGTACCTAGCTGACCTCTGCTACAGAGAAGGAAGCATTTTCCTTTCCTTACCAGCCATATATAAAGTGAGAGGCATGGAGGATCTTCTTTCCCCATTCAGTTCAGACAAATGTGAGGGACTCGCTAGTTTCTTTCAAGGGATGTCAATTCTAAGTACCACAAGCATTCAAATATGTCACAGTTCCTGCCCTCAAGGTAGAAATGACTCTCTTTGCTTCCATCCCTACAAGCACTCTGGCCCACTACCATATTCAGCAAAAGGAAGAAGATCTAGCCTCCAACTCCAAAACTGCAGGTTGACAGGTAGGGGCTGGCTGAGTTCATAGAATAATTAACTTCTGCGTGCCTCCTGCAGTGGTATCATTCCGTGTGTGCTATGTGCCTAGCACTAAGCTAAACCCTTTACTCACTGTATACTTGTTTAATCCTCAAAACTGTTATACAAAGTAAATACTGCTATTAATTTTTCAGATGAAGAAACTGAAGCACAGAAAAATTTTTTTTTTCCATTTATTTTTATTAGTTGGAGGCTAATTACTTTACATCATTACAGTAGTTTTTGTCATACATTGAAATGAATTAGCCATGGATTTACATGTATTCCCCATCCCAGTCCCCCCTCCCACCTCCCTCTCCACCCAATCCCTCTGGGTCTTCCCAGTGCACCAGGCCCGAGCACTTGTCTCATGTACCCAACCTGGGCTGGTTATCTGTTTCACCCTAGATAATATACATGTTTCAATGCTGTTCTCTTGAAACATCCCACCCTCGCCTTCTCCCAGAGTCCACAAGTCTGTTCTATACACCTGAGTCTCTTTTTCTGTTTTGCTTATAGGGTTATCGTTACCATCTTTCTAAAGTCCATATATATGTGTTAGTATACTGTAATGGTCTTTATCTTTCTGGCTTACTTCGCTCTGTATAATGGGCTCCAGTTTCATCCATCTCATTAGAACTGATTCAAATGAATTCTTTTTAATGGCTGAGTAATATTCCATGGTGTATATGTACCACAGCTTCCTCATCCATTCGTCTGCTGATGGGCATCTGGGTTGCTTCCATGTCCTGGCTATTATAAACAGTGCTGCGATGAACATTGGGGTGCACGTGTCTCTTTCAGATCTGGTTTCCTTGGTGTGTATGCCCAGAAGTGGGATTGCTGGGTCATATGGCAGTTCTATTTCCAGCTTTTTAAGAAATCTCCACACTGTTTTCCATAGTGGCTGTACTAATTTGCATTCCCACCAACAGTGTAAGAGGGTTCCCTTTTCTCCACACCCTCTCCAGCATTTATTGAAGCACAGAAAAATTAAGTGACATGCCCGAGGTCACCCAGCATGTGTTGATAATGTCAATTGAAACCAGGTAGTCTGTAAAACTTGTTCTCTTAACTGTTTTTCACTGAACTGCTAACACCCTGGGTTAGCTAAGGAGAGCAGCAGGAGTTAAAGCCCAACAGTGAGAGAGGGCTTGATAGAAGGCAGGAAACCAAGGTTACAAATGAAAGTGGAGTAAGATACAGAGTCTTTAGACCTTTGAGCCCCAATCAGTGGCTTGCAAAGCCCTTCCAGGGCAGTTCGTGTCTTAATCATTTTTGCACCTGGCACAAAGCTGGGCTCATAATCAGCCTCAAAAGACATTATTGAATTGAATGATGGTTGAGTAACATCTTTGTAGAAAGGATTGGCTCATTTGTCATTATCCACAAGGTTCCCAAAAGCAATGCTGCTTATCTAGCAGGTGTTGGCAGCCACAAAGGACATGGTTGGTGGGGAGAGAGTGTGCTGGAGGAGCTGTCAATATTAGTCTTGGAGTCATATTTATTTGCAGAGGCTTCCTCAACCCTCCACTAGCCTTGGTTACCAATCCTCATTAAAGGCCCGATGATGTCAAGCTCTTTACCACAGTGCCCAGACAGAATTATGCTCCAAGCATCTCATTTACTCTCAAACAGAGCCTGGTCTTTTATGGGTGGCTTTGGATATTGCTTTCAGCCTATCAAGTTGACCTTGTTCCTTTTGCTTTCCTGGTTCCTTTTGTGGGGAGAGCATTGAGTAGACCCACTGAGTAGGCACCCTGAGCAAATGCCTTTTCTAAGCCTACCCTCCTATCCCAAACTGATTTGCCTTGGTTGCTGAAGGAGAGAGCAGAGGTGATACCCCTTGATCACCTCCCACATCTTTGTTGATTCATAGCACCCTTTCCTAGCATCCCAGTCACCTGATGTTACATTTTGCCTTGTAAATCCCACTTGAACTCTTGCCAGAGTGAAGCAGAGAGTGGGGGCTATCAGCTCCCCAGCCACAAGTTTACTAATCTTACTGGAGGGAAGGACTTGGGAAAGGTACAAAGAGGTAGGGTGGGACTGGTGGGGGTTGGGGGGAATAGGCCCTGTATAAAAGCTGAGTAGCCAGATGTTCACTTTCACAGCTCTCCTGTAAGACTGGCAGGGCAGATATAGATTAAAATGAAGCACAAACTCCATTTAAAGTGCATTACAGCCCAGGAATCATCTCCCCTTGGGCAGGAGAAGGGAGGAAAGGGCACAGGAGGCCACATAAGTCTCTTTCCTTATCTAGCACCACATGTCTCTCTCCTAGCTTTGTGAAGGGTGATTTACACCCTGGCTGGAATGACTCTCTTTCTGAGCTGATTACATTGGCAAATGCCCCCCAGAGGCCACAGCAGGATGGCCGTATTCAGAAGGAGCAGCCAATAAATCTCAGAGGTCTATATTGCACTTCTCAGTACCCTCCCTCCTGGCCCTCTGCCAGGTGGGCTGTGGAAGTAGAAGAGGGCTTGGCTGGAAGATCCGGGGAGGACACTCTTCAATACCTTTCATTACCATCTTCCCTAAGTACTGTTTAGTTGTCATTCTTACAAGCCATTCTGCCTCTGTCTTTATCCAGGGAGCAGGTGGGAACCAGCACAGTAAATTGATCTAATAAATAACCCTTATCTTTATGGGTAGAAGTCCTGGATTTCTCCTAGGTATTTGCTCTTGGTAGAGTGGCTTGCTCTCCTAACCCTCCACTGAAAATGAGGAGTCTCCTAAATGGTCTCTCCAAACACCTTTCTCAGTGATCTTTCGTCTAGGGAAATCTCTGCAGTTAAGCCTGAGGGAGGTTTGATCCTTCCATCCTTCCTCGTGACACTGAAGGGGCTGAAGTTTGGAGGAGTGTAGTCTGGCAAAGGTCCTGGGATCTTGCCCCAAGTCTGTCCCCAGCAAGGTCATTTCACCTGTCTGCAGAATCTTGGGGTTAATAATACAACGGAATCTCACCCCTGAAGATACTGATGCGGGGAAATGATATCAGAGATATGCAAATTCTAAGGGTGGTGGTGGGGAACCTTGAAATGCAAGTGCCCTCGTGCGTTTGTTACAAGATATTATTTGGGGTGGTTGTTTCTTGGTGGTAGAGCGGATTCCGGAAAATGAGATAGGATTCTTTGTAAAAAAAACAAGTATTTGGACCCCCAGGACGACGAGTTTCCAGTGGCAGCTCCCACAATGACTCGGCTGCTCCGGGGCGCGTACCCTGGATAACCCCCACCCCCGCCGCCCTCTGGGTCTAGTAGGAGAGGCTGCGTGAAGCGTCCGTCGGCTTTGGAGTTGGAGGGCGGCGCCCGCGACCCTGGTGGGAGAGTGTCGGCGCCTTGGCGCTCCCTGCGAGGAGGGGCGGGAGAAGTGGTGGGAGGTGCCGGTGGAGGAGCCCGGCTCACAGAGCTCCTGTGCTAGCAGACAGGGTAACGCGGAGTCGGGTGCAGGCAAAGCACCCGACGTCGACAGCCAGCGCGCGTGCACCCCACCATGGCGCGCCCGCGGAACCTGCGACCTTTGCCGCCTGTGCTCCTGCTCCTGCTGCCGCTGCTGTTGCTCCGAGCTGGTGAGTGTCGTTGGAGCCGCCCCGGCTGGGGAGCAAGGGGATGGAGCTGGTGGTTACCGTGTAAGTGGGGTGCCGGCACCAGAGCCCGGAGAGGTCTCAGACCCCACACTGCTCCCTGGTGCCGGGTGTCCGTCTGTCCGAGCCTGGAGAACTGGAGGAGGAGGCCTAGGGTGTCAGGAAGGGGCTGGGTTCTATGCCTAGTCCAAGTGTCTGAACTTGTAGATTGTCAACCGTGGCCAGGGCACCCAGGCATCTCCTCGCTGTCGGTTCCCCTTCTTCCCTCTTTTGAGGTGCTCCTATAAAGTCACAGAACAACCCGCAGCCAGCCCACTACCAAGACAGCATCTCTAGGAGGCGGGGAGAATCAGAAGCAAGATGCCTTTTGCTCCACATGGGCTTTACCACTTCCACCCCGTGTAAAGACTGGGAAAGTGGCCACTAGGTACAGATGACAATATTGAAGTTTTTGTTAGAACTAACTTGTCACTGGGAACTCCCTGGTGGTCCAGTGGTTAGGACTCTGCACTTTCACATACACACACAAAAATTGACTTGTCACAAATTAGGGTTGAAAACTGCTGCCCGGAATTCGCCAACACCATTACTGAGTGGTTGAGAATATTGCTCACCACCAACAAACCCCCTCTTCAGGATGTACTTTATTATCATTTTAATTGGAGCAGAAAACTCACTATTGGGTAAGATGGCCTTTCTGTATAGGCTGCCCAGCACAGTGCCTTGCCCTGTTATAGATCCACAATAAGTGTTTTATGCAGTACATGATGCAAGGCCTGGTTTTAGAACTATGCCATTCCTCTAAGGAGCATGCATGTGGCCTCTGGGAGAGGGATGGGTGCATGGAATCTCACTGTGGGGCTCCTGTCCAGAGCCTGGCTGGAGGAACACATGAGGCAGAGACAAGGTACTTATCTGCACACGACCTCCTCCACAAAGTAGGACTGCAGAAGTACAATCTTGGCTGAGAGACAGATATGGAAGGAAGGAGGGAAAGTACTGACCTGTTCGGACTGACTTTGTCAGTAAATCAGAGCAGCAAGACATCACTGATCTGATTGAGCTGCCCAGGAAATTTCACTACCCTAACAGTATGGCTGTATGTCAGGATTCGGGTAAATTTTTAACATCTTCATCATGACCAATTTAGTGGAACAAGTTACCCTGTGTTAGTGATGAAATTTAACATGACCCCTACCTTTCTTTTGTGGAGCTGCAATGCCCCCAGATCTACCACGGCTCAGACTTGGTGAACTGTATCAGCTAAGAAATTAGGTTTACTTTTGAAAATTGTTATGATTCAATATTTAATATTTAGTCCAGTTGAAGCAACAAGACTTGAACCTGCTACATTTCTTTCAGCAAGCACTTTCTGGGTACCTACTAGAAGTAGCATCTTAAACATGCAGCACTTCTCAAACTGTTTAAATCCATGTCCCTTTTTTGATAAAGATAAAAATCTTATGTCTTCCTTAAATAAATTTTGAAATTTCAAAAGTCCTTTTGTTCATCTTTCACATATAAAATTGTTATCTATGCTTTTTTGATTTTGTTTGTTATCATTGTTGTTTCAGCCATGCCATGATCCTAGTTCATGTTTTGGCCCTGCAAGATCCTAGTTCCTTGACTAGGGATTGAACCAGGGCCATCAGCAGTGAGGGCACAAAGTTCTAACCACTGAACTACAGGGAATTCCTGTCAAGCATGCCTTTTTTGAACCACAGGTTCTCTTTGGAAATTCTATGTCCCTAAAAGGGTCCCATCCTCTCTCTTTCTTATCCCCTGCATTGAGGAATTCTGGTTTAGTCCAATCCCCCTTTTAAAGATCAAAATTATGGACTTCCGTGGTGGTCCAGTGGCTGAGACTCCATGCTACAAATGGAGGGAGACTGAGTTTGATCCCTGGTTAGGTAACTAGATCCCACATGCTGCAGCTATAATCGTGCATGCAGCAGCAAACATTGGAAGATTCCATGAGCTGCAACTAAGATCTGATACAGCGAAATAAATAAATAAAATTTTTTAAGTCAAAATTAAGGACTTCCCTGGTGGTACAGTGGATAAGAATCTGCGTGCCACTGCATGTGACATGGGTTTGATCCTTTGGGAAGATTCCACATGCCACAGAGCAACTAAACCCGTGAGCTACAACTACTGAAGCCTGCACACTCTAGGACCCTCAAGCCACAACTAATAAGCCCCTGTGCCATAACTACTGAAGCCACATGCCCTAGCACCGTCGCAACTACTGCACCTGCATGCTGCAACTGCTGAAGCCTGTGCACCTAGAGCCTGTGCTCTGCAACAAGAGAAGCCACCACAATAAGCCACCACACTGCAACAAGGGAGTGACCCCCATCTCTGCAACTAGAGACAGCCCGCATGCAAAAACGAAGACCCGGCACAGCCAAAAATAAGTAAATACATAATGACTAAATAAATATAGCAGTGTGTACATGTCTGTGTACATGTACACATGTACATGTGTACATATAAAAATAAATGCCAAAAAATCCACAATGAACAAAATACCAAAATTTTAAAGCAAAAGTAACAATGCCATGTCGAGGCATATTAGAACCTGAAGCAAAAGGAAAAATCAGTACTGCTCACCCTGCCCTTTTTTACACATTGGATATGGCATCAGTTGTCAAACTTTAAGGGGCATCATTCTGTCTAGTGAATTTGCTGTAATTCAGATTCCCAGGCATTATCACCAGAGATTCTCGTTTGGTAGTTGGAGCTAGGGCTCAGAAATGTGCATTCTAATAAGTAATCTAATTGATTATTATATGATTGGAAGAGAATGTTGGACTAACTAAACTTGGAGGCCCCTCCTAATTTTGGGACTCTATTAAGTAGAGAGAAGGTGCTCAAAGAAGTTATTGGGGTGGCTCATAAAATATCTGTTATCTGGTTATTTTTTAAATATTAGTGGGAGCTTACAAAGAACAAGCACTGTTCTAAACACTGGTAACAGAGTAGTGATAAGATAGACATGGAGATCTAGCTGGGAAGAAAATTTAAAAATGAAGTAAAAATATATCAAATGGTGATAAGTACTATGCAGAGAATTGGAATAACAGTATGTTAGAGTAGCTGGGGGGCTATTTTACTTTGGTTGGTTGGGGATAGACTTTGTGAGATGCCACTGAATGACCCAAGGGTGCAGTCATGTGAAGATCAGGTGAAAGAGCATGCCAAACAGAAAGGTTAGGTGGACACAAGCTTGTTTTGTTTAATGGCAACCAGAAAGAAGGTTGGTGCAGATGTAGGAAAGTGGGAGAGGAAGAGAGAGCTAGGAGGTAAGGTTAGAGAGTTGGGCAGGGCCAGATCTCTACAAGGCTTTGTAAACCAGGGTTCATAAACTAGATCTTAACCTAAGTGCAATGGAAGCTGGTGGAAGGATTTAAGCAGAGAAATGAGATGATCTGATATACAGTTTCTAAGTTCACTTCAGTCCAATCACTCAGTCGTGTCTGACTCTTTGCGACCTCATGGACTACATGAGAGACTTCCCTGTCCATCACCAACTCCTGGAGTTTGCTCAAACTCATGTCCATCCAGTTGGTGATGTCATCCAACCAGTTCATCCTCTGTCATCCCCTTCTTCTCCTGCCTTCAATCTTGTTCAGCATCAGGGTGTTTTCCAATGTCGGTTCTTCTCATCAGGTGGCCAAGGTACTGGAGTTTCAGCTTCAGCATCAGTCCTTCCAATGAATATTCAGGACTGATTTCCTTTATGATTGGTTGGTTTGATCTGCTTGAAGTCCAAGGGACTCCCAAGAGTCTTCTCCAACACCACAGTTCAAAAGCATCCATTCTTTGGCATTTAACTTTCTTTATGGCCCAATTCTCACATCCATACATGACTACTGGAAAAAACATAGCTTTGACTAGATGGACCTTTGTTGGCAATGTAATGTCTGCTTTTTAGTATGTTTTCTGGGTTGATCATAGCTTTTCTTCCAAGGATCAAGCATCTTTTAATTATCATGGCTGCAGTCACCATCTGCAGTGATTTTGGAGCCCAAGAAAATAAAGTCTCTCACTGTTTCCATCGTTTCCCCATCTATTTGCCATGAAGTGATGGGACCGGATGCCATGATCTTCGTTTTTTGAATGTTGAGTTTTAAGCCAACTTTTTCGTTCTCCTTTTTCACTTTCATCAAGAGGCTCTTTACTTCTTTGCTTTCTGCCATAAGGGTGGTGTTATCTGCATATCTGAGGTTATTGATATTTCTCCCAGCAATCTTGATTCCAGCTTGTGCTTCATCCAGCCAAGCATTTCGCATGATGTACTCTGCATATAAGTTAAATAAGCAGGGTGACAATATGCAGCCTTGACATACTCCTTTCCCAATTTGGAACCAGTCTGTTGCTCCATGTCCGGTTCTAACTGTTGCTTCTTCACCTGCATACAGATTTCTCAGGAGGCAGGTAGGGTGGTTTGGTATCCCCATCTCTTAAAAGAATTTTCCCCAGTTTGTTGTGATCCACACAGTCAAAGGCTTTATCATAGTCAATAAAGCATAAGTAGATGTTTTTCTGGAACTCTTTTGCTTTTTCTGTGTTCCAGCAGATGTTGGCCATTTGATCTCTATTTCCTCTGTCTTTTCTAAATCCAGCTTGAACATCTGAAGTTCTCAGTTCACATACTGTTGAAGCCTAGCTTGGGGAATTTTGAGCATTACTTTGCTAGCATGTGAGATGAATGCAACTGTCTGGTAGTTTGAACATTCTTTGGCACTACCTTTCTTTGGGATTGGAATGAAAACACCTTTTCTGGTCCTGTGGCCACTGCTGACTTTTCCAAATTTGCTGGCATATTGAGTGCAGCACTTTCACAGCATCACCTTTTACGATGTGAAATAGCTCAACTGGAATTCCATCACCTCCACTAGCTTTGTGGTGATGCTTCCTAAGGCCCACTTGACTTCACATTCCAGGATGTTTTGCCAAGAGAACAGTTAAGAAATGATCCCATATAATGCCAGTCAGCATTAAAATTATGTTATATTCACACAATGGAATGCTATACAGCAATGAAAGTAAGCTATTTGCAACTATACTTAACTGTGTGGGTGAATTTCAGAAACTTAATATTGAACAAAAGAAGCTAAGACACCAAAAACACACATGTGATTGAAAAACAGGCAAAACAAATTATTAATGTTAGAAATCAAGATGTTATATTTGCTTTGTTAGGAAGATGGTGACTGGCAGATGGCTTCTGGCATGCTAGTAATGTTCTGATTCTTTATCTGGGGATCTGGTTATACAGGTATATATAATTAGAAATTCATTAAGCTATACATTTTTTGATTTATGTATTTTTCTACATTATACTTTATTAGCAAACATGATATACAAATAACTAACAAAAACATGAAAATATGCTCAATATCATTACTTATTAGGGAAATGAAAGTGAAAACCACAATGAGATACTAGCTTATACCCACAAGGATGGCTGTAAAAACAGAACAAAAAACAGAAAACATGAGTTAATAAGTATGTAGAGAAATTGGAACCACCCTCATGCATTGCTAGTAGGAATGTAAAATGATACCAGCTCCTGTGGAAAACAATCTGGTGGCTCATCAGAAAGTTAAACATAGAATTATCATGTGATCCAGCGATTCCACTTCTAGAGAAATACCCAAGAAAAATGAATACAGGTGTTCAAGCAAATACTTGTGCATAAATGTTTACATAGCACCATTCACAGTAACCTGAGGATGAGTTTCCATCAGCTAATGTTTACATAAACAAAACAAATTATGGTATCCATACAATAAAATATTATTCTTAAAAAAGAGTGAAACACTGATATATACCACAATGTGGGTGAACTTCAAAAAAAGTATGTTAGAAGAAAGAAGCTAGATACAAAAGTACATAGTATGGTTCCATTTACATGAAACATCTAGGATAGGTAAATGTGCAGAGACAGCTGACTACTAGGGGAAGTGAGAATGGAGAGTGACTTTAATGGGTATGAGCTTCCAGTTGGGGTGATGAAAATGAATGGGATTTAGAAGTGATGCTTGTACAACACTGAATATACTAAATGCGATTTACTTGTGCCCTTTAAGATGATTGATTTTATGTTGCATGATTTTTTCTCTCTTTTTTTTAAATAGTTTGCATCTTTTGACTACCTTCATTCAGTTCTTCCTTCCCACCCTCTGCCTCTGGTAGCTGCAAATCTGATTTCTTTTCCTATGAGATTGTTTGTTTGTTTTTGAAGTATAATTGACCTACAGTGCTATGTTCCTGGTGAACAATATAGTGATTTGCTATTTCTATACATCTCAGAATGATCACCAGATATGAATTTTACTTCAATAAAAATGTTTCACAACCTAAAACAATTTATTTAAAAAAATGGATGCAACAACAAAAAATGTAATTATGTGAAGTGAAAGATTTGTAAACCAATTGTGGTTACATTTTACAGTATATACATGTATCAAATGATCATGTACACCTAAAACTTAAAAAATGTTGTATGTCAATCGTATCTCAGTAAAGCTGGAAAACAAAAAAGATGGCTGAATGGTAAGGAAGAATGAATTTCGAAGATGGAATCATAGAGACCAATAAGGACTCTCAACTAGTTCAGACAGGAAATGATGGTGGCTTGAGCTAAGGAAGTAGTGAGAGATGTGGAGAGAAGTGGACAGGTTCCAGATATGCAGTGGAATTGACAGGACTTGCCGGATTGAACATAGGATGTGAAGGAAAGAGAAGAATTCAGAATGACTCCTAGATGTCCTGCCTTGAAAAACTGGGGGATAATGGTGTGTTGTTACCACTTGATAGGGACCCTAAGGCCTAGGGTGCAGGGCCTTTCTCCAGGGCTAACCTATAACTAACCATGATATTCTTGAGTAAGTAACAGAATCAGTAAAAACTACCCCAATCCCAGCTGCTGCTGCTGCTAAGTCGCTTCAGTCGTGTCAGACACTGTGCGACCCCATAGACAGCAGCCCACCAGGCTCCCCATCCCCTGGAATTCTCCAGGCAAGAGCACTGGAGTTGGTTGCCATTTCCTTCTCCAATGCCTGAAAGTGAAAAGTGAAAGAGAAGTCGCTCAGTCGTGTCCGACTCTTAGTGACCCCATGGACTGCAGTAATCTCAGCAAGTTCCCAGTATAAGGGTTTTTATTATATATATTTTTAAGTTTTTAATTTTGTTTACACCATGTTACTCTTAAGTGACTTTTTGTTTTTGGCTGTGCTGTGAGGTTTGCAGGATCTTAGTTCCCTGACCAGGGATTGGACCTGGGCCCCAGCAATGAAAACGCTGAGTCCTGACCACTGAACTCCCAGGGAATTCCCTTAAGTGACTTTTAATGGAAGACTGAGAGTTGTTGCTAACTGTCATTTAGCACTCCCATGCACATTCTCAACTCTCTGGTTATGATGCTAGCCCTGTTCATGGCATAACTCTTGCTCAGGGCTCTCTTCCCAGTGCCTGACAGGGTCATCAGGCTCAGCCTCAAACAGTTGTTCCCCTTCCCTTCCCAGGAGGCTGAGCAGCCTTTCTTTCTTTCTTTTTTTTCTTCTGAGCAGCTTTCTTTATCAATCCCCTGCCCTTTCTCGAGCCTGATCTCTTCTGTCCAGATTATGACCACGGCAGACCCTCCTACTGGACTTCTTGATCCCCGCTAAAGGCCTCTGTGCTACCCCAAGACTTTCCTGCTAAAGATTTCATCCAGAATCCCCCCACCCTACCTTATGACTTGGTTTTCTCAGACAGCTATTCTGACCTTATGTGAGCCTCTCTTGACCTCTCTCCCTCCATAGGGGACCACCTCCCCACAGAAGGCCGACTCACAAACAGCTGTATCCAGGCCAGGAGGAAGTGCCAGGCCAATCCCACTTGCAATGCTACCTACCACTACCTGAATTCCTGTGCCTCGAGTATAAGCACCTCATCACCTGCAGAGGAGCCTTTGGTCCCTGAGGACTGCATGGAGGCAGCACAGCAACTCAGGAATAGCTCTCTGATGAGCTGTACATGCCATCGGCGCATGAAGAACCAAGCTACCTGCCTGGACATCTACTGGACCATTCATCCTGCCCGCAGCCTTGGTGAGGCCCCCATCCTAGAGTGGGTTAAGCTAGGGAAGATGGCTTTTGGGAGTTGATTTTTAATCCTGTTGAATATGGGCCACATGGTAGATTCTGACAGAGATGATAATGAAGCTTTGCATTTGACATCAGTAAGAAATGCAAGGAGCAATTGGTTGTATCCTTTTGGGTCCCAGAATACTGCCCTCCCTTCCCACTACTTCCCCCTTTCTTTTACCTGGAAACATGTGGCTGCCTCTTGGAAGATCTCTGAACCAACTGAGGCTCAACATGGGGAGCTTCTGGAACAGATGGATATGGAGAGGAAGTGGAGGGAAATGGTCTTAACCCATAAATATAACATACAAATACAGAGAGGATACTCACTAATCAGACGAGAGATGGTAAAAGTCAGAGGGCACTGGAAGACCAAAGAGGAGCTTCCTTTGACTCTAGAAATCCCTTTTTATATAGTCAATTTTACTGGACTACACTGCAATAATGAAATAGGGTCTTCTAAAGCAAAGGTTAAGTTCTTACTCAGGTTCTGTCTTGGCTGTGTCATGTGTCCCCTTCATTCTGGGATCCAGTTCAGCCTCTACCTGGGATGTTCCTTTCAGATGGCAGAGGGAAATGAGCATTGGCAGAATCACTTGATACCTTTAAAAGTTTCTACTCAGACATTACATGAAACACTTCTGCTCACATTCCATTGACAAGCAGATCACATGGTCAAACCTGATGTCCTCCCCCAGGGGACACTAAAAATCACATGGCAATAAATGAGGATGTGTAGTCTTACAGGAAGGGTAAAAATAAGTAGAAACAGTAATGCAATCTACTGTAGTACATCACTTGGTCAAAACATTCATTTCCCTTCCTTCCACAAACAAAATATATCTACTCACTGTCTAAGGAAGGTGTCTAAGTATTCTATTTAAGCAGAACATCAGATTCCAAGATCCCTGACTTGGATATTATCTTGTGACAATTTCTGTATAAGGTCTGAATATGTGGTTCGTCTTAATCTAGAAACCTATAAACTAAAAAGTCATCTGCTTCCCATATATACTCAATATATAGTAAGGGAACAGGGACAGGAGAAGCACAACAAACTCAGAAAGAGGAATAATGGGAAGCACACAGGAGACATTGATTCATAGTAATTCTGAAGTCCTGCCACACAACTGATGCAAGGGCTGTCTTCCCTGGGAATAGGAATTGCTCTTTAATAAGGCCCTGCTTTTGCTCATTGGGGAGCAAAAGCCCAGGAGTTTCTCAGCCCTCTGGGAGGTCCTTTCTTGTCCATTATTTTCTTGGGCTACATCTGAAAAGGGCATTGAAGACTATGACCTCCTTAGGGACTGAATAGCACTCTCTGCTTGCTTCTTACTTGAGGAATGTTGGAGCATCTTAAGTCTCAAATAGTCAGAGTCTCTTTTAATCCAGGCTGGTAGCTCTTTGCAGTACAACTCTGTCAATACATAATTGTGTTTTATATGTTTTGATTTCTGTCACCTCGTGTGCCAGTAGCTGTTCCTATAATCCTTTTCAAGACATACATCTCTTTCCAGACCTAATTAGAGGTACCTTGCCCTTATCAAACTTCTGTGCCTGATCCACTATCTCAGTCTTTTTACCCTGAGCATATTTGTCCAACTGGCAGGATTTATTGGATACTGTCTTAATTGATGAGAGATCTCCACAAAGGGCATGATAGCCACGAACTTGAATTTGTCTTTGCCCCAAGGCTGAGTTGTAGTTGAGCTTATTACTCAAAGCATTTTTCAGTTTTATCTTTTACCATTAGAATATGAGAAGTAGTTGCATTTCTTAATCCTGCAAGTCCTAGAATTTCTGTATTGTTTCTTCTCTGTTTTCTCCTTATTGGTATACTGGTCAGTTTTCTAAGCTTATGTCTTTCTTGTGGTACCTTGCCAAATATAGCCATGAGCATTCACAACATACTAGTAATCTTCCTTTTCTTAGCTTCTTCCTCTTAAAGCACAAGCTCACTCGGTACCTCATCTCCCTTCCAGGTTATTGCAGGCAACAATTTTACCAAACATTGTGCCACTACATAATGAGAGCTGCCAGCCCCCAATAACAGCTTATTCACTGCCCACTGCCCATTCCCAAAGCTAATACTGTTTATTTTAGATTTTTTTGTTACTTCAGTACTCCACTTCTAGATACCAATTAAATGTTTAATAGGAGTTTGCTAAATTATGCAACCAACTGCAAAATCCTTGGCTTTCACCAACAAAAATGTAACTTTTGTTCAAGTTACACACATCTGCCATGGGCTTCCACGAGTTGGCTTTGTTTTAGCTCCACCTGTCTTCTTCATTTGAGGATCCAGGATGGTAGGTGGAAAAGAACCACAGCAGGACCACGTGATAGTTCTTAAAAATTCTTCTTAGAGGTGATTAAGTCTCTGCAGCTCACAATCCACAGACCAAGGTAAGTCACATGGCCAAGCCTTACAGTAGGGTGGGAAAGTACAGTACTCTCCTAGGGGGCCTAGAAGGCACATGGCAACAGGCAAGGATATACAATCATCTCCAGCAAGCAGTTGGAAACAGTAATACAATATACCACTATCCTTGTTCCCTGACTTCCTCTCCCTAATCATCTCACTTCTAGGGCTTCACCTGAACCCTCTCCCTAAATCCTCTTGTCTTCCCCCTCTTTTACCTTGGGAGCTTCCAGGTCTCCCCAGGCATTCAAATCATCTTTTCTGATTTGCTTGATACTATCCATATCCCTTCTCTACTGAAGACATACTCACAGAATGTCCCTGCAAGCTCATCTCTGTCTTTATTTTTATTTTTAATTTTTTTTTCCATTTATTTTTATTAGTTGGAGGCTAATTACTTTACATCATTACAGTAGTTTTTGTCATACATTGAAATGAATTAGCCATGGATTTACATGTATTCCCCATCCCAGTCCCCCCTCCCACCTCCCTCTCCACCCGATCCCTCTGGGTCTTCCCAGTCCACCAGGCCCGAGCACTTGTCTCATGCACCCAACCTGGGCTGGTGATCTGTTTCACCCTAGATAATATACATGTTTCAATGCTGTTCTCTTGAAACATCCCACCCTCGCCTTCTCCCAGAGTCCACAAGTCTGTTCTGTACATCTGAGTCTCTTTTTCTGTTTTGCATATAGGGTTATCGTTACCATCTTTCTAAAGTCCATATTTATGTGTTAGTATACTGTAATGGTCTTTATCTTTCTGGCTTACTTCGCTCTGTATAATGGGCTCCAGTTTCATCCATCTCATTAGAACTGATTCAAATGAATTCTTTTTAATGGCTGAGTAATATTCCATGGTGTATATGTACCACAGCTTCCTCATCCATTCGTCTGCTGATGGGCATCTGGGTTGCTTCCATGTCCTGGCTATTATAAACAGTGCTGCGATGAACATTGGGGTGCACGTGTCTCTTTCATCTCTGTCTTTAAACAATAGTTTTTAACCAGCATTTATTAAGCACCTTGTGTATGAGCTATGCAGTGATTTTTTTTTTTAATTGAGATACAGTTGGTTAACAATGTTGTGTATGCAGTGATTTTATAAGATCCTGTACATCTCTTTCAGGAACCCATAGCCCCATAAGGGCATCTGAAAGAGATGTGTTTTCTTTGAAATCATTGTCTCTCCCTTCTCTGCTTTTCTCAGTCAGGTTCATTCTGGGCCTGGTCACGTTTCCATCACCTCAGTGTGTGATAAATCTCCATAGCCAAGTGGTCAGTCCTGGAACAGGGTTCACTATGGCCCCTTCTCCAATTGCAAGAGCAAATAAGACAGAATCCCTTTACTTGTTTACATACCCACGGGCAATATGTGTAGTAGTTAGGAGTGGAGACTCTGGAATCAGATAATCCAGATTTTAAATCCCAGCTCCACTTATTAGCTTATGTGAGCCTGAGCAAGTGAATTAAACCTCTTTTATCCTCAGTTTCTTTTTATCTACCCAAAGACTTCTATGAAGACTAAGTGAAATTGTATGTATATATATATATATATATATATATATATATATAATGCCATAGTGCCCAGTATACAGTGTGCACAACAAACAGTAGCTTTATTATTCTTACCATTAAACCCAGTTTATTCATCAAGCCTAGCCTGAACCTTTATGGCCCCATTTTTTTTTCCTTTCTTTCACCCAGGATGCAGCTAGTTGGGTAGAGATTGTGCCTTTGCCTTTTCCCCAGGAGCTTCAGCCCCTCCTACTCTCATCCCCAGCCCAGTCCTCAGAATTCTGATGCATCCTACCTTGTCTCTAGGTGACTATGAGCTGGATGTCTCTCCCTATGAAGACACAGTGACTAGAAAACCCTGGAAAATGAATCTCAGCAAACTGAACATGCTCATACCAGGTGTGCAGGGCCAGCTGGGGCTGGGGTATGGGAGGGCCTGGACCCTGCGGGAAGAGTGGCTGGTGGGGAACACAGCTGGGGAATAAGAGGGGAGAGTTCTAGACTGCCAAGTGACTAAAGAAGCCCTGTCATGGTGAGAGTCTAAGCTATGGGGCATGATCTAGTCTCACAAGTCAACAAAAAGCAATAGTTATTAAGGAGATAATCAAAGAGAGCCTGTTAGAGCTTCCAGCTTCCAAAGGGTGGATCTCAACAAAGGGTTAGAAGGGAGTGGCAGCAGTTCCAGGGGAAAAATGTGCTGAAATGGAGTATTTACCCTAATTCGAGGCAGCCAGGAAAGTAGCTTGTGGTCCCTGAAGACTAGGAAATTGCTTGTTTTCAACCATTCTAATGGGATGGGCGAGGTGTTGGGCAGGGAATAGTGAGAGAGAGTGTGACTCCTCAAGAGTGATTCAGGGTGGGGAGCCATCTGTCTGGCAAGGACTATGATGCATTTTTTCAAGAAAGTGAGGCTGTTGTGTTAATTGGAGAGGAAGACACACATGCACTGTCTTTTTGAAAGAGATGTGAGATTTGTTGTACAGTCAGTTCTACATGTTAGAATTTTGAGAGAAAAGTATAGAAATTTATATATTAGAAACTCTAGGTTACAAGGAATCTGGGAATAACCTATTCCAGTTACTCCATTGTTCTGACTGCTGAAATATTCTGTTAATAGAAATATCACCATGATTTCCCAAGACTCAGAGTATGGGTTTTTTTATGCCTGCATCAATCAAAGAAAGATGGACAGAATAGAGATACAGAACCAAAATCCTAAGTAGAATTCGGTTGCATCTGTTGTGGACAGTTCAGAAAGGATACTTTTCCACACCAGGAGGATTGTGGGATCCTAGTTCTCCCACCAAAGATGGAACCCCTCAAAAGTGAAAGACTGGCATCCTAACTGCTGGACTTCCAGGGAATTTCCCAGAAAGTACTTTAGAACGTTGTAGGGCCTCTTGGTTACAGTTTCCACCATGGGATCTCACTCATTACATAGGATTGTAAAAAGGATTTGGTTAGATGTATATGGGTTAAAACAAAAAAAAAACCTAGGCAAGCAGAGGAGGAGGATGGGGGAGGCTCATGAATACCAATATTGTTTGAGGCTAGCGGGCAAGGCCTTTTTCAGGGCAGTCCTCCCTGACGGTAGTGCCCTCCCACTTCTGCCCTTGATACATCAGAGGCTGGGCTGCAGGTCTAAGACTGCTGACTTGCTTCCCCTCTCCCCCCAGACTCGGACCTCTGCCTCAAGTTCGCCATGCTGTGCACTCTTAATGATAAGTGTGACCGGCTGCGCAAGGCGTACGGGGAGGCGTGCTCTGGGTCCCGCTGCCAGCGCCACACTTGCCAAAGGCAGCTGCGCGCCTTCTTCGAGAAGGCCTCAGAGCCTCACTCGCAGGGCCTGCTGCTGTGCCCGTGCGCGCCCACCGACCAGGGCTGCGGGCAGCGGCGGCGCAACACCATCGCCCCCAGCTGCGCGCTGCCTTCGGAGGCCCCCAACTGCCTGGAGCTTCGACACGTCTGCGTGTCCGACCCGCTGTGCAGGTGCGGCTGCTATGTGATGGGTGCTGGTGAACGGGGTGGGTGCCACTCCTTCCGGGCTTCTTCCTGGGCAGGGTTGAATCTAACCTAGCCCAGGGATCCTGGACTGACTTCACCACGTAGCTATTCTGGATACCTTCTGAAACTCTTTTCTAGGGGAAAATGTGTGTGTGTGTGTGTACGGTGTAAAAACCTTAGAAAATATAAAAATGTCTTAAAATATCACCCCAAACCCGTCACCTAGAGTTAATCTAACATACTTTGGAGAGCATTTCCTTCCAATCTTTTTTCTCTACAGATAAACAAAATCAGACATTTTAAGGGTATATTTATCTTGCTTTTCTTCCACTTATGGTACATATCTGGCGAGTATTTTCTGATGGAAGCAGTATGGAATAGAGATGAAGACAAGCTCTGAAGTCACACATATGTGAATTTAAATTCTTATCTGTGTGACCTTGCATCTATCACTTAACCTAAAACTCTGTCACTTAACCCAAGGTTCCACTTACTCCTCTGTAAAAACTGGGATAATAATGCAGACCTCTGGGGATTCTGGTGAGAGTTAAATTATGTAATTTATGTAGAGAGTTAGCTTACTGGTGCAGTTAAGTAAGCACTCAGTAAATGATGGTTCTTATTTTGTAATTTACTGTCATTTAACAACTTACTTTTTGACTGTGTACATTGTATTTCACTTTATAGATGCCCCATATTTTATTTAATAATTCCTCTATTTATAAATATTTAGGTTGTTTTCTTTACTGCTATAAATAATGCTGCAATAAATATTACTGTTATTCATTAATCTTTGTGCACAAATCTAATTATTGCTTAGGTTGTGTTGCTACAAATGTCATTACCAAATCAAAGAACATGAAGAATTGTAAGGTGTCTGATCAAAATCTAAGCAAAATTTTAATATGGTTTACCTTGACCTTCTCACGAAAACGTTCATCAGATTGAAGTTATCATCCTTTCAAGTGATATTTGTTGACAGTGAGAGTCACACCAACTTTGTATTGCAGCTTGGTTCTACCACTTAGTTCTCTGTAACCTTGGGCAAATCACCTCTCTTGAGTCCCACTTCCTCTTCTGTAGTATATTACATAATAAAAGCTCTTAGTTAGCATAATAGTGACACTCAGTAATTACTATGGGCTAAGTACTGTTTTAAGTACTTAACATCTATTAACTCTTCTAAAATTCACAAGAACTCTGTAAGATTGTTGTTGTTATTATTATTTTTTATCATCCTCAGTTTACAAATGAAGAAACCACAGCAGAGAAAGGATAAATAGCTTACTCAAATTCACCCCTAGATAGTAAATCAGGTTTGTTAATGAAGTTTAGTATGAAAGAAGTCTGGCCTAGAGTCTGCTCCTAAAGGCTCTGCTATGCTGTCTGTTGTTATGCTGGTAGCTGTTACTATTACTATCACAATCACATAGCAAGATATTGTCCCTCCCTTCAAGGAGTTTGCAGTTGAATGGGAATGACAGAGAAGTAAACCACTGATCTAACACAAGGCAAAATGTAAGGAAAACTGCACAAATATATACAGAAAAATATATTTATAATTCCATTGCCTAAAGATAATCAGCTTTACCTATTGTAGGATGAGTGTTAAAATAATAATATCTAACATTTACTGAATACTCACTGTATACCACGCCCTATTAAATGCTGTACAGTTAATGCTTTTAGTTCATCCTCACAAAAATCCACAAGGTAGTGCTATTTTCATCTCTATTTACTGTAAAGGAAACTGAGGTTAAAGAAACTGCCTGAGGTCTCATAATTAGGGATTTGGGAGCCCAAGTCAAAAGTGCTATGCTGTGGAGACTGGGGTGATGGTACATTTGACTGTGACAGGAGCAGGCCCCACTCAGGAGGAGGCCATGGCGCAGGCTCTGAAAGGCAGAGAAGGATTTGGCATGAAGAGAGGCATGTCAGCTAAAGGGGCAGCAAGGTGATGGCTGTAGGCCAGACTGTCAACAGGGACTCTTAAAATTTCCTTTTTTCCAGATCTCGTCTGGCAGATTTTCAGACCCACTGCCATCCCATGGACATCCTAGGGACCTGTGCAACAGAGCAGTCCAGATGTCTGCGAGCGTACATGGGGCTGATTGGTGAGGCTGGGGGATGTGGGTAGGGAGCCAACAGGTTGGCCAGCCTGGCAGGTGAAAATGCTCTCAAGACTGAACCCAGATGGAATGGTCCTGAGACAGGTGGGAGACGGATGGGAGATGAAGGCAAGGTTGGCTTAGTCACCGATAATCTTCTCTTCACCCCATAGGGACTGCCCTGACTCCCAATTTTGTCAGCAATATCAATGCCAGTGTTGCCTTAAGCTGCACCTGCCGAGGCAGTGGCAATCTGCAAGAGGAGTGTGAGCGGCTGGAAGAGTCCTTCTCCCACAACCCCTGCCTCAGTGAGTGCTCACCACCTGCTCCCAGTCCCTGTGGCTGGTTCAGCTCAACCCTGGGAGAGGGAAGGGGTCAGCTTCGTGGTCCACACTGGTTCCATCCATCTCCTACAGATGGAGCAGCCCCCTCCTCAGCCCTCAACATAGGCTTACATCTCCCCAGCCTGGGCCTTTCTGCCTTCTCCCATTCCCTAAATGGCCACCTCCCTGCCCCTGCCAAGCTGCCTCTTCACCTATCTGAGCCACAGGAACACTCTTCAGCTCAAGGAATAGCAAACAGAATGAGATAATATCCCACTTCCACCTGCCACACACCCACCCTGCTATATGCCAGGGTCCCTGAGACATTTCCTTTCCTTCTTTTGGAGCCTAAGAAATCTCGAACATCTGCCTGCTCTCAGTCTTCCTTCTCTCCTCAGTGGAGGCCATTTCAGCTAAGATGCGTTTTCACAGCCAACTCTTCTCCCGGGACTGGGCAGCCTCTACCTTTTCGGTGATGGAACGCCAGGTAGGGACTCCTCTGTTACACCCCCCTCCTGCCTTTTCTGGACCATCAGGGGAAACCCAGACAAAGGAGACAAGAGATTGGGGGTGGCGTGAGTTCCTTGTGGTCATGAGGACTGTAGACCTCTAATGGACACCTCAGGGGAGGGGAACAGGCCTTGATGGAAGCTGAGGTGGTGCAAAGGGTGGAGCTGACTCCATTTCATTTTTTCCACAGAACAAAAACCCTGCTCTGAGGCCACAGCCTTGGGTGCCCACTCTTTTCTCCTGTACTCTTGCCTTGATTCTGCTCTCGAGCCTCTGGTAGCTGGACTTCCTCAGGGGCCTTCTTCCCCTCTGCCACACCAGCTGACCTGCTGCCTGCAGTGGGTGAGGAAGGAACAGCATCGGGAAGGAGGTTCAGTCTACCACGTGGCAACCCTGACCTATGTCCAGTCAACTCCGGATGAGGTCATGGTAGAAGCTGACTAGCCTCGTTCTCATGCCCTTCACTTCTTTTTTTGTTGTTGTTGTTGTTTGGCCGTACCACACGGCTTGTGGGATTTTAGTTCCCTGACCAGGGATTGAACCTAGACCCTCCCAGTGAGTACTCAGAGTCCTAACCACTGGACTGCCAGGGTCATTCCCTTCACTTCTTCTTGGGCTGCCCCTTCTTAGGACTTCAGCGTATCACCTGGTGGTATCCAGCTCTCCCAGGCTCTCTCCTTATTTCTTTTTCCTGCCCACCCAGGGTCACTCAGGCTCTTAACAAATCAGTCACACTCTGCTGCATTCTCCAGGTAGGCAGAGTTGGGTGTTCTGAAGTGACCTGGAAAGACATTCCTCATGGTGAGGAAAGCTGGAGGAAGACTCCTGTCTATCCCGAGTTTTCTCCTCTGAGCGGGGGATGGGAACCTACTGCCAGCCCTGCCCCAGGATCCTACACAACACTTGCGCTTCAGGAGCTGGAGCATTTGGGCCTTGCTTTCTTCCTGCTACTGTCCTAGAGTCCCCTTAGCCTCTTGGATTATGATTAAACATTTTGACTTAAAACTTTTCTGTTTTCCCATTGTCTCACATTGTGAATTTATATAGAACAAGGGGTGTTACAGACACAAGAGCACAGGCCAGGTTATCTAAGAGACACAGTGACCCTGCCACCAGGTTCTGTGTGACCCCCAGGCAAGTCTCTCAGCCTCCTTGTGCACTTGACATGGAGTTGGAAGAAAAGTAACTTACGTGAGGCTGTACCAGGTACTAGTCCCAGCTGCTGCCTAGGATCTGCTACTCCCTGTACATCTGTGCACATGAGAACCTATAGATATGTATAATATTTTGTAAGTAAGATCAGGCACTGCCTGTCAAAGTGTAAGTCACAGACCCCTTTCAACATCCATGAGAAGAGCTTGAAATACATCATCCTTTTCATCAGCTGCGTGACATGGACTTGTATGAATGCATATTCCTACAGACATTGTTTATTTAACCAATTCTGTATTGATGAATATTTGTTTGTCTTCACATTTTTCTCTGAGCCAAGTTTTAAGGCAGCAAGGAGGTGACTGGGGGTAGGATGTGCAGAAGAGCTGCCAGAACAATGGGTGACATAGGGAAGCCACTCTCTAAACATTCTTGTATCCACATACTCCTGCCCCAGGAAATGCCTAGCCAACCTGCCATTCTGTACACTTCAGTGGGGTACCTGGTGGACTGTCCTCTTTCCCCTCCCAGGAAGATCTCTGAACCGTCAGGGCCTCTCCATTTGCTTTGGCTCTATTATCATGGGGCTGGGGAGTTGAATGGTATAGTCATTCCTTGCTAAGTGCTTGAATTAGACTAATAGGTCATCTATACTTTTCTCTGAAGAAGGTCCAAATTCCTAGTAAACAACCAGACCACTCTCCCTGCTTAGGGCCCAGAGCCAAGACCTGGGGTGGGGGTGCACAGTGGCTGGACTGAAGCTTTTAATGGTATCCTGGCTGGCCAGGGTGGTTAATGCCATTAGACTAGTTTCTGGGTGATGAGGTGGGAAGGTCTGCTGGCAGTGGTAAGCAGAGAATGCTGAATTACAGGTCTCTGCATGGCTGGGGTGGAGCAGACTGTCTTTTAAACAGCTATCTTGAAATTCACCCATTCAATCTTATATTCATTCAGCAAACCTTAGCAAGTGCTTGCTCTGTTCCAGGCTGTATTTTTCAAGATCTGTCTCTGCCTATTCATGTGCTAGCATTTTGGTGAAGGGGCAGCCCAGCCCAGGACTTTGGCAACTGGACCTTGGCTTTAGGCACTTGGGACTTTTCAGTTATCCTGGCTGATTGTAACACTCAGCTGTTTGACCTTGTGAAATACTCTTTATCCTTCTGAACCACCATTTCCTCATCTCCAGTAGGGATGTCAATAAGAGTACTTAAAGGTTGCGTTTTTGCTTTTGTTTTAAATAAATACATTAGCAATTTAATTTCAGTTAAACAGATTAGCAACATCAACTAATATTTACATCAATTTAAATGGTTTTGGTTGGCAATGTTTTTGGCTTCTTATTTCTATGAAAGCTTATAAGCGTGAAGAATTTATGCTCATTTTGATCTCCATGTATATTTGTTAGATAATAGTAAAAACATTTAGAACTATTAGAATTGTTTGAAGACTGGAAATAATTATAATATTTAACATAGTGTCTGATACAGAATGAAGAGTCAATAAATGGCAGCTGTTACTATTATTATTTCTGGGAGGGGATCTGTGGGTATTATGTATTCCACTCCCAGCCCTGGAACCATGATGAGTGATGATGCTGGCTCTGCCTCCAACTGGGGGCTGAATTCTGGTTGGGGCTGCTTCTGGGAGATTTGCTATTCAAGCTCTGAACTCCAGGATGAAAACCAGAGCTCTCGGTTTGTAGCTCAGGCCCTGATGGACCTTGGACCAGGTGTGGAGTCAAAGACAGTGTCTCAGTCAAGGATCTTTTGGCTGCAAGTAACAGAAGATCCCTTGGAGGAGGAAATGGAAACCCACTCCAGTATTCTTGCCTGAAAAATCCCATGGACAGAGGAGCCTGGCAGGCTATAGTCCATGGGGTCACAGAGTCCGACAGGACTTAGCAACTGAGCATGCACGCACACAACAGAAACATTAGAATTACTTAGTAAAAAGGGAATGTCATGCAACCTAACTCCAGGAAGTTCAGCTGGGGCCTTGGTGAGACTGAAACTAAAAAGTCAGAAGCCAGTCTTCAGCTCCAACTGTTGAAGCCCTAGACATCTTGGGCCATCTACTTCATTCTCTCTACAGACCTACTTCCTTTGCATGACCTTCCAGGGCCAGCATCTTCAACCAGATGACCTCCCATCCCAGTTTCAAAGTCATGAAAAATCTGACTGTGCACAGGTTTTCGATTGGCTTTCCTGGGTTGAGGGCCCATCCCAGGTCTATCAGCTGGGTAAAAGAAACACAGACACACATGCAACTAAAGTAATTACAGGGTCCCAGGCCTCTTAGCCAAAAGCAGTTCTCAGAGAAGCAGTGTGTCTCAGCAAGACCCCAAGAGCATAGACACTTGGCAGGGACTTGAGGTAGATTTTAATCACCCGAGGTCCAACTTTGCTATTTTGTGGCTTCCTTCCTGGTGTAGGAGTGTCTTCTTTGAGCTTCCTTCTTGAGGGATGGGAGTTAGGGACAGAGGCCCAATGTTGTGGCTCCTTTGAGTCTGAGAACCATCCTGAGAGCTAAATGGCTCTCTTTTTTATGGCTGCAGAAGGAGGCTTTACTACTGTGGAGCTTGCTAGCTTTCTGGTCCTGACAGTTGAAGAGTGAAGCAAAGTCAAGGGGATCAGAATATGCCACTCTAAAATATGCCATTTTGGCATAAGGATTATTTTGATCTGAAGGCAATTAAGAACCAACAACAAGGTCTCTGTCCTCCCCTTACCTGCCTGAAAGGGCATAAATGAAGATGGGGAGTCAACACCAAGATAAGCTTGCACAAACAGACCTTACGAAAATAGCCATTACTTCCAATTTTTCCCCCATATATTTCTTAGTCTCTTCTGCACAATTTATTGTTCCCTGGGGCCCAAACTGTCTATCCTTTGTTAAAAGGGTACATAAGGCCCCTAGTCTAATCTCAAGTCTTATATAAGTTTCACTTCTTTTCTGTAAACTCTCATGTAGGTAAATATTAATAAAAACTGTACCTTATCTCTTGTTAATACGTCTTTTGTTAGTTTAATTCACAAGCCTGCAATTACTGACTATAAGAGAGTAGAAGAAAAGGGTTTTCCTCCGCAACAGAAGCAGTGCCACTTCTTTGGCTGGTAACCCTCCATTTTTGCTTCTGTATCCCATCTTATTGACAAGGCTCTCACTCTCATTCTTCTCATGGAATCTTGGGTTCTCAAAAATTCCCGACTCTTTTCAGCACCTCTGATTCTCTCAGGAGGAAGCCTATTCATATGGGAGACTTGGTGCAATAAAGTTCCATCCTCAGATGCTGAGCTGGTCAAGGCCTTATCTGACATACTGTGGGAGTTGTGGGGGTGGAGGAGAGACAAAGACAATAATAATAACTAACATTTATTAAGAGTTTAATGTGTGCAAAGCACCAGGCTAATGGCTTAAAGAGCATTATCTCATTTGCTTTTCAGAAGTATCCTCTTTTATTTTCCTTGTTTTACAAGGGCATTGTAGCAAAGCTAAGCAACTTGTCCAAGGTTACGGGGCTAACACGTGTCTGATCCAGGATTCAAACCTCAATCTCCCTGACTCCCAGGTGCAATCTTTGATCCAGTGATCACATTTGTTGGGGTGAGATCCCACTACCTAAATTTCAACAGAGGCCATGATGAGGAGTGTGGGGTCAGAGGGCTCTTTTAGGCTACAAACATGACTTCCTCAAAGAGAAGGTATTTGGACTGGATCTTGAATGAATAGGGTTTATCAGGTAGAAACTGGGGAAAGGGCACCCCAAAAATCAGAGTGGGCAAATGCAGGCTGGAAAGGGAGGATGACAAGATGTCTGCTGTGACTGGAATTTTTTGAGGGGAGGTGCTCTCAGGTCTTCCTGTCACTCAACTCCCCATTCCACTATCCTAGGGGAGGGTTCTCCTCTGGGGACATACCCAACTGCAGAGCTGCTGTTGAGAAAGCCAGACCCTATGAAGCAGGCAGGAGTCTTGGGGAACTGGTGTGCTGAGTTCTGGCTTGGCATGCTTGGCATCTCTGGTCATAGGGAGCCCCATGGCTTCTTGACCCCTCGGTGACATCCAAGGGCACAGAGGTCATCACTGTGTGGGTGAACAGATAAAGTGAGACTGTGTCTGGCCTGGAACAGTGAAAAGCAGAAAGGGATAGCCCATCCCCTACAGAGGGATACCAGCAAATAACCACTCCCCACCCTTCCCACCCCTGACACCCATGATCTTCCAGTTTCTGTGGTCAACTGCAGTGTCAGGGCATTTCAAGAGTCTGGTCTTCCCAGACTTTGGTTGGCTTTGGGGTTCCCATGGAGGCTTCTTCCTGCTGTACCTACTGTAGACTAGGTATGGCAGGCAGTAGGCACATGTAGAAATGAAGACAAATTTTGTGATGGAGACAAACAACAGAGACATCATTATTTGAGCACTTGATATGTGTTGAACATTGCACTGAGAGTTTTGCATATGTATCTTTTTAAAGCTAAGTTGCCTCATAGGCTTGTCTCCACATGGTATCATCTGGCATCCATAATATTTGAAAAAATTTAAAGAATTGTTGTACAGTCTTTTGAAAAAAAGAATACACAGCAAAACCGAAATCCTTTCCCCCTATCTGTCTCTATTGTGTACACAAAGCAGCAGCCATCCCCACAGAATCTCTTCTCTCTCCAGGAAGCTCAGAGGAGAGATTTACACCATGAATATATATAGTTAATATTTTTCCTTTGTCTCATGTGTAATACAGTTTAAATTTCCTCATGTCTCTCTAAGGGCAGACACTATTATCCCCATTTTACAGATGGAGAAACAGATGTCCAGAAATGAATTATTGCCCAAGGTCACATAGCTAATCCCTGGCAA